GAATTACTATTGAGGTGCCCACATCTAATATGCATCTATTAAGTACAAACATTGCCTAGAGGCAAACATCAGAAGAGAACATGAAGCAAGGGTGTATAAAATTCAAGATAATATTGAGTCAAAAATGAGAATTCATCATCCCCCCTGATTTTACCTTAAGAACAGAGCGATCAGAATTTCCCACAGAGAATTCTTACTCTTGTAAGAATTTACTACTTAGTGAGACTTTATCCATTTGACTGAAATTCCAACTGGAAAATACATTAGAAGTATTTAAATATTTCTAATAGCTTGCAAAGAGTTTGAAAGTTTTCAATCCTATTCAGTATCAAACTAAATTTTAAATTCCATCTGGGGAATAACAACATAATGTTTTAGATTATTCAAGTCAAACCAGTGCTAAAGAGATAAAATGGGAACTTTCAATTTTCTCCCCGTTAAAGGTGTTCTTAGTTCATTGGAGACATATTCCTGATCACATCTTTTTCTTCTCAAAAGTGAAGGCTGTAATTAAAAAAGAAAACCAGAAAATCATCACTGAAGCAAATTTATAAACTTGAATACTGTGGAGTTGGACAAAATGACCTTCCAAAGTTAAAGAGAAGCTGAAACAGCCAATAATTGAAATGTCACAGGAGGAGCTGGCTGCTGAGAAAAAGCAAATATTTAAAGAGGAGAAATATTTAACAAGTCACTGGATTAATTTCTCTGCCAAGTTCATCAGAACCAAATATATTTCTATTTGATGTCAGGGACATCAGGTACAATCTGACTAACCTTATGGGCATAAAACTACCCTGGAGGCCTCCTTAGCCCAGAATAGTTTTAATGCAGAACATGCAGAATGTAGAACAGTTTAATGCAGAAAGAAATAATGTCATAAATTGAACATATTTTTCAGTGAGGTAGATGCACCTTGGTATTGAAGACAAAGAACTGCATTTTATGAAGGAAAGTTATAATTGTATGAATAACTGCTTGTGCTTCCATCTTTTACTGCTTGCTCTGAAGGAGCTGCTGCTGCAGCAGAATCCAGCTCTTTTATTAGAACCTAAGTATGAGATACTCCTGTCACTTGACATACACAAGATTTATGTCCCTTCAGGGAGCTGTTCTGAGTTTTGCTCTTCTACTTCACTGGTTTCTCACCATCTTTACTCCATGGAAATATCACAGTGATTAGCCAACAATCGCAAATTTTAATTAAATTGAGATTTCAAGGTGATTCCTGCTTTGTTTTCTTGATCTCCATCCTCGTGGCACAGGCTTTGCAAAAGTAGATACTTTCATGCTTTCAGTCTACTGATTTGAACTGCAACAAATTGTGACCACTCATGTTCAAAAGGCTGGGTCTCTAGAGGGACGTAATTTCACTGGGGGGAAAAAAAAGAAACAAAAAAAAAAACAAAACCAAAACCAAACCACAGAACCTGGGAACAGGTCTCGAGACAAGAGTCTGTCTAGGCATGCTTTGAAATGATTAAGAATTCCAGTTCCTCCTAATTCTTCTTACTGACACGGTGGGAATGAAGCTGCTCAATGGGAAGTGGCCAGTGCCCTGGTGGAGACAGATGGACAGATGGACAGATGGACAGCTCCTGCTAGGGGTCAGCACCTCAGCCCCATCCTCCTGAGGGAGCTGATCTCAGGGAGCCTGGTCAGTGAAGCAAGGGCTGCACCCCTCACCACGGACCAAGTCCCTGCATGGTCACTCCTTGGGGCTGCTGCCTGCTGGAGGGGCCACCACCCACACGGGGACAAGGGAAACCCTCAGCTGCTGTTTGTTATTCTTGCTGTTATTCTTGCAAATACCTGAAAGGTTCACCTTCAGTGCCTCTTTCACTGGAACAGCTTGTGGAATGAAGAGTAACGTGACTACTGCAAAACCTCCGCCATACATTTCAGTCCAGTCTCAATTTTACCTTCGTGTGCACTACTTTTAAAAAGAAGCATAAACATGCTGTTAATAATACTAATGACAGTGCCTGTTCCAGTACAAGATGATTTGGATGTGTTTATGGAAGCCCATGATTTAATTTACACACAACTGAACTGGTGAGATTTACAACTGGAACGGTAGATCATCTCTAGGTACATCTTTATTTGGACAGTCCCTATATTACTGTTATATGGATAAAATTAATCTTTTAAAGGGCTATATAAAGCCCAGGCTAAGCTTCTTCATTAGGCACTCAACACATGATATTTTAGTGACTGAAAGGGGAAAAAAAAATTAAACAATTTGCATAATTCAATACTGTAGCATGTGACTGCACAGACAAGGTCACCATGCTAAACTAACATCATCCACACCACATGCAACTTCGAAAAATACTCCAATTTTTGCATGATGATGCCTGTAAAGTGTCAGACTCATAAGGGTATTTTTTTCCTTTCTGCCCGTTTAATAAGCAATTTAATTTTTTTAATTAGGACTTCAGTATATTTTTAATTTACAGGACAAAAAGCTTAAGTGCCCTGTTGAGCTTTTTTGGCTACCTGTAGAAACCACCACTTTTTCCTCTACTACATATAAATTTTATTTCCAAAGGTAACTCTCACTGACTCAGATAACCAGCAGTTACTTTTGTAATTAGAAGCTTATTAGGTTGTTATTTACAGTATAAGTGATCAATAGTTTTTACTCTGGATCAGACAGTGTCAAAGCTCTAATAATTGGTATTAAATGCAAGAGAGATACTGCAACCAAAGCAAACATTAAAAAATCTTCAAAAAGTATATAATATACTGGGAAATTATTAAAATTCCCGATACTGGCTAAAATGTTTAATGTGCTGAATACAAATGATATTTCAGAGAAAGATTTGTGGATCAAAGATGGATTTAATAATCATAATGTTTAGGAATTTGTTTTGAAAATATTTTTAATTGGATAATGTCAGACTTCTGAATTACAATGCTGTGTTCATTAGCATTTCAATAGGTTATACTATCAACTCCTTTTGACATAAAAGAATTTGATTCATTTTAAAAATCATGAATCTCATGATCTTTTTTCTGCTGCCACTAGTTTTCAGTAATTTGATTATCTTCTACAAGAAGAGCAACAGGAACCACATGGGCTTTGCTGGTAATGATGGTCTATATATCTTTTCTCAGAGAACAGCTCTGCTGCCTTTGAAAGTAATTTGCAGTTTCTTATCAACAGAATTAAAAAGTAATATTGTCTAATTTGTTATATGTTCAGTGGCACAGAGTATTGTAGAATTCTATCACATGCAAATCGCTTTGAAACCTGTATTATGTGACCATAATCAAGAGTACATAAATGAATTTCAAAATTTATGAAAGTGTTTATTATTAGCCAAGAAAAATCTCAAAAGACGAACTTGTCAATAGGTTTAATAGTCTCTTAGCAAGATGTGTATTTTGCACACTCAAACCTCAGTGCAGTTTATAAAATAGTAATTTGTACTTTATAGTTGTATTGCAAATAACTGGTCTGGACATTTCAGTGCAGGACAGGGCATAATTGTGTAAGTCTCAGAGTAAATCTGTACATTCAACATGATGAACTCCTTGCTTGCAGAAGTTATCTTCTACTTCCAAGAGGAACCAAAACTGATTACTGTTGATCACTTAGACATAACTGCTTGTAACAGTCAACAAGCCATCACAGTAAGGTATAAAGACAGCCCTTAGGAGAAATGCTGCCTATCTGATGACATTTAAAGCTTTAAAGAATTCCTTCTAGATACTGCAGGAAATCATCATGAGCCAGCGCAGGCTGCCAATGCCACTGAGTGGAACCAAGCCATTAAATCATGTGTACTGGTAACACTGCCATCCAAACCATTAAATTAATTTATGGAGCTGGTCTTGCAAACAGTTCATCATGTCAGCAATGCCCAGGTCTGTGGTAGGAACTACCAGGGTGAGAAAAGCCTATCACATGGGTACATGTGCAGGATGCTGCCTTGCAATTGGATCAACCATCCTTCTGTGTTGGTTTTAGCAGTTCTAAGAAATAAAACACGGTTTAAATGATATCCTACTACCTCTTGTCCCTCTACAATGTTTTGGTAAGAGAAGTAAGGCATGAAGTTCCTGTAGCTGTTTGATCTGACATTATCAGGTATGTATAAACAGATGATGATGTTTTAGCAGAGCAAATAAATTGTATGTCATTTTTTTATTAAACAAAGAGTATAATAACTGGACTATATTATCACAATGGAAGCATAGAAGACCATAGACTGTACAGCTGAAACCCTGTAGCAATATTTGTTCCTCATATTTAAAGAAATGTATCTTTATCAAGCTTTCACAATGGCTGCATCTTGCTAATGTAAAGAATTTTCACTCTTGTTAAGGCTAGATGATTATAATTAAAAGATAAATGTACTGTTAGGAGGTTCTACGCCACACTCTATGAGAATTGAACTGAAAGACATACATTATACCTGTATGTGAAGTAGAATGGCTTCTCAGCAGGGAACGCAGAATCACTTACAGTACGTAAACATTTAAAGAGGAAAATGCTAACACACTGAAAGAGTTTAACATCAGTAGCGATTTATCAAATGAAGGAGTTTCATAAAGTCCACTCTCTGGGAGAACATTCACCATTAGACAAAAGCCTGGCATCCTTGATAGTCTGAAGTTCAATCAATTTGAAAACCAAAACCATTCAATGAGATAAACAAGATTTTAAGAAAACCATCATCTTCTTTCTCAGGTAAAAGCCAGAATTAAAATAATAATTATTAAAATAATCCAACCAGGTCACTTTACAGGCAAATTTACACACTGTCTCTTTAAAACACAGCATGCCCAAAAGCCTTTTGGGTTTGGAATGTAGCACTGCACCAAGTATTTCACAAAGCCTCTAAATATCACAAGAAGCTTTTTTTAGAGAGAAAAAAAAAATAAAATTCCAGCTGACTGAGACTGTTCTAGCAGGAGTGCCTCAGCATAGCTCCCAGACCTGGAATTCCAGATAAACAACAGAGGACAGCAAACAGATTTTTTTTTTTTTTGGGATTTTTTTTTTTTTAAACACTTTTGTCCTTTTGTAATGCAGCTACAAGACGACTGATGAGCTTAGGGACAAAGAGAGTGAGAGTGCAAGTGCCATCAGGGTGAGCTGTGTGCTTAGATAGGAGCTGGTGGGAAGAGCCAGGGAATTCTCTGCGGATATGTGACTGGTGGAGACTCCAGCTGTGTTGTCCTTCCCCAGAGCGTTCTGCAAGACACAACACCTTCCTTGGTCACCAGCACAACATTTGCATTGCAAAGCACTTCAGTTCTACTGAAATGATGAAACTCATCTTTTGTGTGCCCATGTCCCACCCTCCACTGATACCTGTACATCAACCTCATAAATTGAATGATAAGAAGGGCATTAAAACAGATGTTGCAATGACAGTATTTTGGAATTAGTTAACACCAGTACTGCACACTTCAAAAAAGAGAAGAATATTTAAAAATTCTTACTTTAGCAATGCTTCCATGTGTAAAGTATTGGGGGTTTTTTCAGGCATCTGTGTTTGTCATGCCAGTTTGTTTTATAACAGCAAAAGCAAGACCCCTAGAGAAACTGCACCCTCTGTACAGTCAACAGAACAAATTTGTTTGACAAGTTATTTTTGGATAACAATAAATAAAATTTAATCCATGGGTGCAGATTATTAAGTATCCTTACTAGGTGCAATGGTGTTTACCATGGGATCTGCCTAAACATGTACCATATAGGTACTGAAATATCAAACCAGCAGAGAACACTTTGAGCCCAGCTCTGAACTTCTAAGTGAAATCATTCTTTAATTTGATATGATATCCAAATACAACAAAACTGACAAGACAAGTGTGAGGTAGGCCATGATAATCTTGACAGACTTGGAATGTCTTTTCTTATGGGGAGGCACCTGTGCTGTGAAATATCCAAGATCCACACTTACCTCATTAAGACAGAGCTCTGTATCTACAGATTCATTGGATTTTCGCTTCTTCTGTGCCTATGAAAAAACACAAATTTTATTCCCAGTACAATTTATACTTCCAGCAGCACAAAGCACTTAGATAAATTTGCATCAGTTGTCATAATCCTATAATTTTGACAGCGATTTGCACATTATTAGCAAATAAACTCCAAATGTAACTGCACGTTTTCCAATAACACTCACATTCTCATTTGAATTTACAGCAAAATTTCCAACAGTCAACTAAGGGTACTTAGTAATTACAATGATGAGTGCCATCAGCTGCAGAGAACATGTTATCTCTTCTATGGCCCCTTAAAAATGCTGCTGGACGTTCATGAGAAGAAATGAAATGTGACAGTCAATAATTACCATAATACCACTGCATATTAACAAATAATCTATGATATACCTCAGTTTTAGGAAAATATACAACACAGGAGTATTTTATCCTTAATGATTCTTGCAATTTTCCCAAATATTATGATAAAAATATAAATATTATTTTAATATATGCCATGGTTGCCAGAGAATCTCCTCTACAAAGCTGCAAAAGAACACTGACTCAAGCAAGAAGCATTTCAGGTGACATCATCCAAACTGGAAGCAGCAGCCTGCACCCTGTCCAGCAGCAGGAGGTGTTTAATATTTCCACTTCTCAAGTGAACAGTCTGGGCTGGGTGTTTCCTGCTTTTCTACAAGGGCAGTACTAATCCTCATGGTGTGGAAGGTGCTCTCAATAAACAGTGCAGTGGCTGACTTGAGCACTTCAGTGATTCTCAGTATCAGTTCTTTTGTAAGTTCCAGAAACAAACCAAGCACCCTTTTACAGCAGGTAACTGAGCTGAAGTAAATCAGTTCTTGTAAGAGAAGATGTGGGTTTACAAAACTACTGACTGCACTGGGCACATCTGGTGCCTCCACCTGGAAGTTTTGTTGGACCTGCCACTTATTTCCTGCAAAAAACAAAGATCTGAATCTCAGAGTGCTGCTTTCATTTTGCACTGCAGAAGCTCAGTGGTTTAGGCAGTGATGGCCTGGACTAAAGCAGATGTGAGAAAGTGCTGAGCACTCTGATTTTATGCCCTCAAAAATTCAGTTCCACATACTGATATTTATTTCATATCTGAGAGCCACTGGTTCTGCCAATGGATACAAAACAGCCTTTGACCTAATTACTGATTTTAGAATTCAAATGAAGGAACTGAACTTCTTATTAGGAAGCACATCCTCTGCTTTTGGTGAGACATGAACATATTACAGACAACTGAAAAAGTGAAACAGCTGGGATTTAAGAAAAAGACAGCTTAGCTATAGTAATAATACATACTGAATATATGTTGATAGTTTTTGTATATATGACAAAATAATAGCTCAATTTAGGAATAAACATCCTCCGTAAAATTTCCTTCTTACATACCCTCTCTACTAATTAGCACCATTAAAGTGGTTATGGTAAGCATAAATTTACCTGTCTAAATGGAAAAAGAAATGCCTGGAAGTAAATTTACAACAAAAAGAAGCAGCACAGTGAAGCCTTTGTGCTGTGTTTGTAGTGCATAGGAAACTTCTCTTAAAGGCAACTGGGTATCTTTCAACTCCTAAATGGCTGGCTTCAAGGAGGCAGGTAAAGAAGGATAAAGTAGATTTAAATCCTGATTTTCTTATGTCCATAACACCCATACTACCTTGAGTTGGAATGTGAGGCTTCAGCTAAAGCCTCTGGATCAGAGGTTCAGATCCTGAAGGTGTAGGCTGTACGGATCATACAAGACTCTTATTTCTCAGTTTGTCACTTATTGCTAACTTTCCTATTCCCACGTGTGTTTGTTTATTTGAAACACTGCTTACACCTGCTGTGGATTGACAGCACTGTGCTAACTACAGGTCTACACCTGGTAGCTGGTTTCAACACTCAAGTCAGAATTTATATGCCTTTTGTACTGTGTTTATCAAATGAGTAAAAACATCATTATTTTGCCTATATACAGTGAAGTCTTCCTTTACTTCATTCAGCCTGAAAACAATAGAGTGCAGCAGCTAAAACATATCTACCTTTGAGAACACTATTTTAAGGGTAAAATCGACAGCTAAAAAAAAAAATCACCATAAAAGCCCCTTTTCACTCATTTTGATAAACATTGTCTGGTTCTCATTTGGAAGGTGATACTTCTCTGCATCCATACACTTATTGTAGACATTGTAACATCAACACTTATTCACATGCATCCTCTATTAAAATGTCCTCCTCTCTTAGCACTGAAAAGCAATTTTAATAATCAGACAGGCTTTTCCCTTATCAAAACAGAAAGGACAGTATCTTCTATTTAAAAATACAACAAAAATGCAACCTTTTATTGGGAGGAAGGCAAACAGAAAGAAAAAACTGTCATTCTGAGGATGAGATGAGACATTATATGCCAAGTTTCAAATTGGAAGAGTACATTTTTAGTGTTGAGTTATAAACCTGTGAGAATGGGTTGTAATGGAAATACTGGCATAGGCTGCACTACTGGAATACAACAGAGCACCACTAAATCACAAATAATGGGATAAAAAAACCAAGCCTACATGTTGAAGAGAGTGCTTTAGTGAATGTCCTTTACTTAAAACCAAAGGGGAAAATTCTTCCTGTCTTGGGCAGAAATAGCTCTACACCAAGCAGAATTCTTTCTTTGTGCTACAGTGAGTGAACACCTTATCAGAGATTAAAAATAAAATCAGAGCTTAGAGGTTATGCTGGTAGCCCTGGAGGAAATAGACCCAGACTGGGAGATGTGCATTTGAATTAAAGAGGATACCCTCTGCAGTCAGATATTTACTTTCTAACATCTTCCATTATCCTAAAAATTTAAACAAGAGAAATGAGTGTCCATCACGTACAGCTGCAGACAATTTTGGAATAACTGCACCACCAGCTAATCTGGGAATTGAGAGTTGTTCATTATGCAAGATGCCAAAGATTCACTGCCAATCCCATCTCAGGTATCCAGCTTGCCTTGCAAGCAGGCAAGAAGGTGTTTTCAAATGTTCTGGAAGTACCTAACTCCACAGGAGTGAGAGAGCACACACAAATGGCTAAGTTGTCTGTATTCAAATTTGTGTTCTTTTAAAATTTTAATATAAAGCTGTTTATCTGGTGAAAAACAGCTTTATATTAAAATAAATCTATGGGGACTCTATCATTAAATAAAAAATCAAGCAGGGCTGGGCTGATAAAAATAATGATTTTAAAACAGAGAAGGAAAATCAGCTTAAAATAAGTGGCTAACAAAGATGTATGAGTTCTTTTCTACTGAGGAAAAATAGCATTTGCTAATGACTTACTTAATGACACGCTGAGCTGTGACATATCTCAGTCTGTAAAACAAAGTTACATAAATGGGCTGACACTCCAGCTTTGCAGGGAATTGTAATTCATTAATGTGAGCTACTCTGGCAAAGCTGCATCCATACAGCCAACAGGCTTGACCTCACTTAAGCTTTTATGTTTTCTAAAAATGAATACCCTCTTCCCAGAGAATCTCCTCACTGTAGCAGCACATCTCAAGCAATAGATGGTATTTAGAGATAATTGTATTTAAGCACCTCCTGATGAGCTTCAGTATCATGTCTGCTAGTCACATATAAGCCTTGTTTTGATCTCAAAACCCTTAGCTTTTAGTATTAGAACAAAAATATTGGACTTGGTCAGGGGCTGGTAGAGTAACCAACAGTATGTCCAGGAAAAAAACCCAAATCTCATTATGAGAAGCAAAATTTCACTTCTTTCCTAGAAAGAGAGTTAAATCAGGATTAGCAAATGACCTAGTAGTTTTCTAAAAAGAGAAAGGAATATTGCTTATAGAGACATTTCTCCTTCAGAAGACTCTGTGGACCTCCATGTTTCCTTCTGATCCTAGATGAGTTTAATTGCATGCTCCTAATTAGTCTTCTCTTGCCCTGCACCTAATAATTATCATAAGATCCTCCTAAAACAACTCCCTGCTTTCCATCTCCCAAATCCCTCTGGATCCAGGCTCTGCAGACACTACAGCCCTGAATTTATGTCCAGAAATGCAATCTTGCAATTATGCATCCAGCTTTTGCAAATCCCAGCACTGCATGGTTAATAGAAGCATTAAACACTGCAGCAGTGTCTCACCAGGAGTCAGCACACACACTCAGGGCTTGGCACCCAGCAGTATTTTTATATGTTCACTACAGCATCAACTTCTGTTCCCCAAAGCAAGGAAAAGTTCTGACTGGGGATGTCTCCAAATGGAGGTGAGCTTCAATGGGAGGGAGGGAAGGAGAGGAGAGGGGTGTAAAGGGAGTTGAATGCATTGCTCTGAATGCAAACAGGCACAGAGTGAGCACCCAAATTCAGAACCAAGCCCCTTTCTTTAGCTACCCACTTTGGGCTTTATGAGCTTTATGGAATGTATTGCTTGGACAGGGAGAGGCAACAGAAGCATCATTAGGACAGATATGTGCTAGGTAGGCTGTTTATACAGCTAATTTTAATGAGTGAGCCCTTGTCCTCTCCTGAGATCCTGGTTAGTTATGCCAATATTAACAAGCCTTTCTGAAGAAGAGGGACAAATCTCCCAGAATGCATCCTTCAAATGACCACACTTCTAAAGCAGCTATAACAAATGAGTGTTTGTTCTTTTTGTTCTTCTCCTGTGTTGATTAGAGAGATTTACTATGCAACTAACCTGTTTTCCCCAACAGCAGGACACAATAAGCAGAGAAATATACAGACTGTAAAAATGCAATCAGTTTAATTCTTCTGTGCTCACTAAGTGGATGGTTCATCTATCACAAGTGACAACAGTATTTTCTTATTAGCACAGGAGTACTCTGCCACACTGGAGTATAATTACTTTCAACAGGGAAGATAAGAAAAGTGTGGGTCAGAGACACAGGCTAGTGAAATAAAGATCCAATTCAGCACAGGGTAATTCTGAAACCCATACCATCCAGCCAGAGTGCAGAGCTATTTAAGCTATAAAAACAAGCAGCTCTGTGCTGTCCTATAACAAAGCAGCCAG